GTATTACAGATTGGAGTAGACAATAAGGATACCCCATTTACCTTGAAATTAATTAAACAATGCACTAGCAGAAGCCCAACAGCAAAGTCTAATTTATTCTGGAAACTTCTTAGGGTATTTAGACAATAATGGGCAAAAATACTCTGCTCAGTTGAGAAAAGCATCAGAGACAACCTCACTTTCTGAGTCTCATGCAAAGAAAGAGAGAACTTGCATTTAAAGTAATTATTAAAACGAATTTGTAAATTATAGAGTCTAGTCCACCTATACAGATTCTCCAAGAATGAGATGGCCATGCAAACAAAACAAAAAGCAATCTTCCAGGAATGAAATAAAAAGTTTTTCTGGATATCTCTTTCCAATGCAAGCCCCAAAAAAAGAACAAGTAAATCTGTGCCACCTTAGTGGAAGGAAACAAGGATGCCAAGACTCAGGATAACTCCCTGCAGCTCATCAGGTGTTTGAACTAAACATTTGCAAAGGAAGTTTTGACTTTCATTACTAAAAATAAACTCCAGCTTGTACATGAGGCTTATTTTGGAGTCTTCCATAATGTCTTTTCTGCACTATTTTTCTTGGAGTTTTATGAGCTAACAACTTTCAAGGAGGGTTTGTCAAACTCTAAGGAAATAAAGGCATGGATCAGAAATTTCATGACCTTCTGAAGTGGGACTTATGCTTACTTTATTAGTGGAAATTGGAAACAAGTCACTTTTTTGCTCATCTAACTTAAATTGAAATATGGCTCTCCTATTCTAAAACAAAAATAGCCTCACTCAAGTATCAATTACAAAGTATCACATCACTGAAGGCAAGGGAGTCCAACTTGGACAAGGTCAAACACACTTTTGAAAAGCTTCCCATATACACCCCCTGTCCCTTGAAATTAAAAACAATAAATTCAGGAGTCCAGCTGTCAGCATAAGGCACCCTAAATCAGCAGACCAAATTCGCACTCTCCCCTCTGCCTTCATGCACCGCTAGACTGTACCAGCTTTGCTGTGCCACAATTCTTCACCTCAAATGAGTTTCTTCCAGTGCTTTCAGTGCCATCTTTACAGTCTGGCTTGAAATTGCAACCTTCACTACTCTGCCTGTGTTTACCAGATCTGAAGTATGTCTTCAGACCTAAAGAAGAAAATTAAATTAGTCTGCACAAGTTACCCTCAGACCTCCTTGAGTGAGTGAGTTAGCATCCAAGCGCTATACAACTATATTAATGGAAGCAGCACATGAAATACCTGTGTGTAGCTAGCACAGGCCCGGTGCGAGCCCTAACAACATGCTACCCACAGAAGCTCGAAAGCAAAAGGATTCCCACACACCTTTTGGTATGGTTTGGGGGTTTTTTTACTATTTACAATATGCTTGAGTTTAAAAAGAAGCCTGTCCTCATTGCTCCTTAAGGCCTGACTCGGTACCAACACCACTGACAGAGAAGACCATCTGTCTCATGGTACTCACCATCTTTGGGAGGAAAATAACCGGGCAAAACCGGAAGTGCCAGTGCTAGCCAGGAGGTGGCAGAGGAGCAAGGCTGCCTTGTACACCAGTTTCTGCGTTAGTTTGGCAAAAACACGAATACAAACCAAGGAAAGACAACAAAACCCAGCCTCACCCTCCATCTTCAGGAATAAGAGGATGAAACCCTTAATCACATACCTGCTTGTATTTATACTAATTGCTCATCTTCCTGAGATCTGACTTTATGAAATTATGCATGCACACCAAGCAGATGAGTTTCCATAGGAACTGAACTTTCATTAGAAAAATCTTTTTTTTTTTTTAAATATCTTCCAGATAAAAATGCAAATTACCTGTCAGTGGGTGGCTTTCTGAATTTATATATAATTTTTTTCTTTTGCACTGTAGGCAGATTCCAGCTGGACCTACATAGCAACAACATGCAGGCATTGTTTATAGCAAGCCAGACTCCATGGGGAAATAAATTCAGTAGCAAGGAGAAGCCCTCAAGTGCAAATACCTCAGGAAAACAAAAAACTGAGGTGCTCAGTGCTGCATCTTCATGAGGCTTGGGGATTGTGCAGCCTCCAGCTCTCAGAAAAAGCTTGTGGTTTGTAAGGAGCAGGGTGGGGAGGAGGAGAGAGGAAACCCAAAGCAAGAAACTCTACTGAATGCAGAATTAGTGATGTTCAACCTGTCCTTTAAACATCCAGCAGGATATTTCTGCCGGTTCACTTAAGCCTCACTGGAAAGGCTGACACCATCTGTCACAGCTCACTCTGAGCGAAGGAGTTGGTCTCTGTGCTGGGGTTTGGCAACATTGGCAAGGCCTGGGTTGGAGAGCGGGTTGGCCACAACCTGACCTCCACTTGGGCTGAGGCCTGAAGCCCAGCCTCTTTTGCCTACACCACATGGAGATCCAGGTGCATGGGCAAGAAGGGGACATGGGGCTGTTCCTGCTCAGAACAAGAGGGGAGCAGGACAGCAGGCACACCTGGGAAGGGCCATGGACCTGGGCAACCTTTGGCACTAACAGTTGTGCATGTAGGCAAGGAGGAGGCAGGAAATCTTTACCTCCTTTAGCAAATGTTTCCTCCTGTGTTTCTCCCCAAAAGCATACAGCACTTTTTCACTCATGCAGAATACTGCAGCATCCACAGGAGGCTTTCCCCTGGCTTTGGAGAGCCTGAGATCACCCTTTCTGAGGGTTCACAGATGTTCTTTCAGCTAAACTGGCATGCTTGAAAGCACAGAATACCTACAAGCAAATGTTCACGTGTGCTGCACTTACTGGTGGGCATCGGCTTCAGCATCTTCCCCAGGTGAACACAGTACCTGTGGTTTGCATACAGCCTCCTCCCAGCGCTGCAAGACAGCTGCAGGGACCTCAAGCACAGGCAAAATACATGCAGCGGCTCTGCACTGGGGAGCTGTAGGGGAGGAAGCCACGGCAGCCTCTGGTCATTGACCAGACATGGGGCAGGGGCAGACAAGAGAGCTGTGCTGCATGAGCAGTTTATGATGAGGTGGATTTCACTGCAGCATTGTTGAGAGGCGTGAGATGTCTGCCAGGGAGGGAATTCATTTCCTCATTGGAGAGGGATGACAGACAGCAGCTGCACAGGCTCGCTAGCCCCTGTGCCTCCAGGGCCAGCGGCCCTCCGGGAGTGTTAAGAGGCTTGATGCCACTTAGTGTCAGGGTGAGGACAGCAATGGGTCTCCGGCCACCGGAGAGCACAATCGGCTCTGCTCAGTCAGCGCAACAGGAAGAGTATTTAGGAAGAGTGGTTTTGTGGTTGAGGACAAACTTGAGCTGAGATAGCCCCCGTCTGTTCTTGGCTCAGCAGCAGATTTGCTATGGCCACACTACTTGCCCTTTCTATGCCTCATAATCCCTGTCAAGTGGGTGACTCAAATTATAATTGCACAAATTCCTTCCAGTCTGTCATTACGTGCCTGTGGTTGCCTCCAGGCAGCTACCTCCAGAGGAACCAGCCTCTCTCCCATCAGGGTACCTCTGTGCCACCTGTGCCTGCTCGCAACGGGATGGTAAGGTTAGGCCCCATTGCCTCGCCGTTTTCCAACAGAGAAACCTAAAGAAAAAACAGCCCCACTGCATCTCTAAATGATCAGATTTGATACTGAGTTGACTATTCAGGTCAAGGTTATGGGCAAGAAAGAGGCAGTGAAACTTCACAGTACTGCTGATAATTGATTAAATGGGTGTTTCTTAATTTTTCTCTCAGGCAAGGTAATGTGTTTCTGTAGGTATTAGTACTATCAGTGGCTATAGGCTCTTAGCCACGTTGATGCACTCTGTTTCTAATGGCACTTTTGGAAAAGCAAACAAAACAAGACAAAGGAAAAATCTTCACTATTTCCAAAAGCATCACCTTTCTTTCATCAGAAATTTACTTGGGTTCTAGTTGTGAGAGATTTCAGGTTTCTTATGTCTTTTCATATCAACTAAAGGCAATGAGACACATAAAAGATGAAGCTAATGCTTTTCTTCATATATATATGCATCCACATCGTATATAGTCCCAGGAAAAGCATGAAGTCAGGCAGTCATATCACTTTGCAGCATTTCTGCGGGTGAGTGCAGGCAGAGGCCATGCAGAGCTTGGCAGGCAACATCCAAGTGTCAACTGCTTCTTCTACAGGCCACACCTGGATGAAACTGGTGGGAGGTTCATCCTGGTGTGTGCACCTTCAGTAGGAAGCAGAAGAATGCCACTAATGCATTGCTGACTGCAAAGCCCACATGACCACCTGGGCTCGGTGTGGTTGACTGCTGTACAATTAATTAAAAGGGAGCCTGGCTCCTTAGACACTTTGAGGGTTCAGGCACATCCATGCGAGCCCTATAGGAAAACATGTTCTTCCTACCACTTCTTTCATCCTCCCCCTCCTGTTCCTTCCAGATGATTACACCCACTTATGTCTTTTCTTACCCTAAGGACAGCTTTTTAAACAAGGTTCCTCCATCCTTCTGCTCCCCCACACTGCTTTAGGATCTACATCGGAGTGCAAGAGGACAGAGGGCCCCATGCTGTTACATACAGCCTGCCCCTAGAAGGGGGCCGCATCCCTCTAGCCCCATTTGTTAAGAAGAAAGATCTTTCTATTAGATACTGGATGTAATTGGACCTGTGTATAATTTTCCTGGAGATTAGAAGCCAGTGTAACCTACTCAAGGAGAGAGGGATGCTTAAAGGGCCTATAGACTCCTCTATATAGCACCAGTGTATGCTCTCCCAGTAACATGCAGCAGGAGCACTTGCAGAGCTGGATCAGTCTCTGCTTAAAAAAAATTATTTTCACAGTTGTTTTTTTAAATTACACATCACAATCAAAAAAAGGAAAGCTTAACAGCTGATTGCTTCTGTTCTCCAGAAATAGGTGGAGATCCCCCACCCCATAGGACTACTGCACCTGCACTCAAACATCTGCCCAGCTTGCCGGGACCTTGGGGGGTTCCATTTCCTCCTCTGTTTTTTGCCATTGTTAACTGCTTATCACTTGTTTGTTGACAGGGCCTGGTGCTGAGCAGACTTGAGCGGAGGGACCTGGCCCAGAAAGTCCTCAGAGATGCCATCCGGATCCAAACCACCAGTCACAGGGCCTGGAACAGCCTTGGAGAGGTCTTGCAAGCTCAGGGGAAAAATGAAGCAGCCATCGAATGCTTCCTCACCGCTCTGGACCTCGAATCCAGCAGTCCTGTCATCCCGTTCACTGTCATACCCAGGGAGCTGTGAAACTTTGCCCTACAGCTAAGCACCTTCATTCCATGGCCAGACACCAAAACCAACCAAACAAACAAAGAAAAAGCCCAACAGAAAAGTGCCATTGTAACCTGGAACTGGGCAAAATAATTCCAGGATGGAGCTCAGGTCTACATGCTTAGCTGAGACAAGGCTAACCGTAGAAGAATTTGCAACAGGCAGAAATAGAGAATGCCTTTTTCTTCACAGGTGCCTGGCTAATCTCCTGTTCAAGTTAATAGCAAATCTTATTTCAAACTGTTGGTTCAGGGTGACTGTCTGTAGAAAGATCATGCTAGGGTACAGCTGTTCAAAGCACTTGCACCTTTCAATTTTCATTAAAGATAAAAACCCCAAGCCCTGAATTAAAGCCCAGACCTGCTCTGAACAGGAGTAAATGCACCAACTAGCTTGACCAAGTTGTGCTTAAGCATATGGCTACCTCCACACAGATCTGACAGGACAGGAATGACAATTAAACCATATAAACATGCAGTATATGCTGTTTACAAAATTATTTCAGCTATTTTGATAATCCTTTTTCCTGCCTTGCTCTTATATACTGCATATGCTCACTATATTTAGTGTGGCGCTTGCCTAGACCAATTTAAATAAAAAATACTTCTTTTTTTAAAAGCTGCTATTGCAGTATTATTCACAAAAGCAGAAAGACCAAAGACCAAATCAGTTCACACTTGAACTAGTATTAAAAACATTTATGTATCTCCAATTACATATATTTGAAAGGCCTTACATGAAGTAGCTAATTATAAACTCTGAGCTTCATTCTTATTAATCACCTATTGCATCACTTTTAGTGGGAAATATAGTGATTACCAGTATATAGTGACTGAACTCTGTGCTCTACTGCATTACCATTCCTGGCACAAAATATTTTCATATCCATCTTTTCATGATACAAAAGATGGCAGCAGTCTTTTAAGGGAAAGCATGCTGAAAGCAGTATGTGTATATATTAATTACTTCTTTCTTAAAACTAAAACCTTTGATTGTCTGTAGAAATTTCATATTAGAGGTACAGAGTTGAGCCTTCAGCAAAGCAGGATAATTTTGCGTATCCTATCAGATGTAGGAGTGAAGAGCTCCTAATCTGCACAGCCTCCCCACAGCTGGCACAGCCAGGGAGGGGGACACAGCTGCCATACCCCCTGCTAAGCTGCTCCTTAGCTGTGCTTGACGTCCCCGGGGCCTCAGCAGCAAGGCAGAGCTGTGCCTTGCTGTCACACGGCATGTGAGAGCCAGTCCTGTCCAGACCAGTCCCAAGATGAAGATGATGCAGAAGTGAGCTGCAGGCACTTTTCTACACAAAAGGTTGGGGTTCTGCACCCGTTTCTGTCCAAAGAAGATTTGTGACTATGTCATAAGTAGGTTTGCACTAAAACACGCTTTGTACTATAGTTCTGCCCAGTATGGTGATCCACAACTAGTTCATTCTGGAAATAATAACATCCTCGGGCAATAAATGAGTAGGGGTTATTTCTTAAAGAGCCTGAGGCTCTGGCAGCAGACTTGAAGTCAGCGTTGTTTACAATTATTTGGAAATCTGCAGGCTAATGGAGAGGTGGGGCCCTTGCACTGCTCCCAGACCACACCATTGCAGAGCTCCTGCTCCCAGCCTCCCCTCCAGGTACTCATGCCGAGGGAAGTACACTGCCCTTGGGTTTCTCTCAGCAGCCTGTTGCACTCCCAGGCCAATATTTTTATTTTTTCCCATTAAATCATGCTGGTGCAATAGCCCAGCTTATTCATCTGTTCATCGAGAGGTCTGGAGTGAACACAACACAGCCATGAAATGTGCTCAGCCCATGAGGTCTCTGCCTTTCCAGTGCCACACAGGCACCAAAATGGGCTTTTTAGGCCAGAGGCAGGTTTCCAAGGAGGCAGTGTTACCCGGACGCATTTCTTGTTTGCAATAGCACCAGCAGCAGAGGAAGGAGTAGGTGTTAAAGTACTAGAATTAAATGAGTTTCACGAAGACAAAAAGATGCAGCAGAGACCCATTTTGCTGTGAAGGATGCTATGAAGTCGGCTTGCTCTGCACTGCAGGTGGAAAGGGGAAGGGGGGGCAGGAGAGATGTTGTTGTTGACGTAATATGTAAATTGTTACCCAGGTGTTTTAAACCCAGTTCCACAGTCAGATGCAATCTGACAATAGACTTAAGTAGAGATATATATAGATAGGTATTATATTCCAATATTTGTTCTGCTCCACAGTTCCCAGGTTGGGAGCAAGTCTTCTGTTTAAGACACAAAAAAAAAGAGTCAGTGTGGTCCGACATCACTGCTTTCTTGTGCAATGTATATCTGTAAAGCGCTGCCATAGCAACTTCTGTGTACTGGACAGCTATTTGAGTACAAGCTATGCATCCACCTCTGCAACTGAGGAACTGCTTTAAGAGGTCTGTTGTATCGCTGATCTGTGACCTGGCAGGAGAGTCCCTGTTTCCCAGCAGCAGCTGAAAAGCAAACACAGACCCATTTACTTCTGCATGTGTAATTTGTAAACAGCCACCAGCCCATCACATTTGCTGCCATCAGGCAAACTTCATCTTGGTGATAATGAGACTTGCCACAGTAGTCATCATCCTAGGAGAGGTGCAAACATGCACAAGTACTTTGAGTGCATCAACCAGACAGATGTTGCCAGGGTGATCCCCTATTTGTCATGTGCATTAATGAGTTTTACTGGCATTGGAATTGCAGTCCTAAGAGCCTCTGCTCTGCCTCTTAGGTGTAGCAAGGAAGATGTACACAAGTAAATGTCATCAGCATCAATAGGAATTATGTGGGTAAGGTACCCTCTACCGGCACAGCACACCACAGCCCCTACATCAATTGCAAAGTACTTTGCATGCATACTGGACTCAAGCCTGAGATTTGCTGCGTGCTTCTCACAGGATACAAAGCACCTGTTGGCTGGAGGGGTGTTATATTGGCCTGAAATACCCTGTAAGGTGCAGGAAAGGGGGCAGTTGTTGCAGACTTGCAAGTATTTTAGGGGTAAATCCTGTAGCTACCTTTGTTATTAGCGCTCACCAAAACAGAAGCCTTCCCAAGCTTACATGCTGCCTCTGTTCTTCAGCATGGATTTTGTTCATACTTCCAGGTACAGAAAACCAAAGACAACTACTTCAGACAAGCCTATGTATTGTATTATTTATTTAGATAGCAATGTTGATAAATCTAATAGGCCTACTTCCCTGAGCCCAGTCAGTAATAGTTTTTTGTGTAGCAGGGAGTCTGGCATGCTTAATGCTCAGGATCTGAGACTAAGAACATACAAAAGATTTACATCCCATCCTTCATACGATTATTAGAGATGATCATAAGTAATGGAATTTTGGGGAACAGTAAGTGAAATACCAATTCTGTGAGTTTTAGCACTGACTTGAGTCCAACAGAGTTTTCTCATTAGTTTAGAAAGAGGAAGAGAAAAAACATGTTGTTGCCTAAAGGATCCAGGTATACACCCAGGTTCCTCTTGTTCCACCATGAGGTTATTTTCCTTTGTGTTAGCAGGGTGCATACAAAAGAAAAATAATTAGCTTCTATTTTTCTGTTGTGCAGTAAAGGAGCAGTATTTTGCCGTTGCCTTTGACCAACAAGAAGGTTTGTATATTGTAACAAAAATGACTCTGCCTCCAGGAGAACAGAAGCCCAACAGGCCAGGGAACAACTTCCCTCCCAACTTTACCCTGTGTAAACTGTCATTAGCTCCACTGGAGTTGGTGGTGGTTACAAGCATTTCCTCCAGCTGAGGATCTACCCACTGGTGTACTCATTCAGTACAAGGAGTACAACAGAGCTGCCATATTCCTGCACTGCACAAGTACACCAGTCTGTTTCTATTGGTAACAGTTCATGCTACTGATTATCACAATGCTTCAGAAGTGCTAATTATCTTTTCTTGGTAATGACTAATAAATCCAAATGGAGAACAGTCCTGGAGGGTTTTTACTTTAAAATTCACTGGCTGTGTACCAAAGTAGGCACAATGCTTACTGCTGCAGTTTGAATTACAGTTATTTTATCCAAAAAATGTTTCATTTTTGGAAAGTCTTGGTGAAGACTGGGTTTGGTTAGTTTATATTTCGTTTTAATGACAGCAGAGTGGGAAACAATCCTTTTTAGTGAAAAGACATCACGGCCATGATCTTTTTTCAGCCAAACCAACAGAGATTTGATAGTTGCAATGCGGCCTAGGAGAGGAAGGCTTCCCAGAGCAACCACGCCGCAGCGATAATTGCCTCTGATGGAATTGTATTACAGGCATATTTGACAATTATGCAATGAGCATGTGCAGCTGAGACGTCTCCCTCCCCCAGCATGTCACATATTTGGCTAAGGAGAGCTGCTTTATGCCCAAAGCGACAACTGCAGTGCCTGTCTGGGTGCCCATCAGCACTGCCCTGGTGCCTGCTCTCACCTGCAAGGTGGCTGCTGCCACCAGCTGCACGGTCTTGTTTGCTCGTGCTGGTTTAACCAACACTCTGACTGTTCCCTAAGCCTGGCTCCATGCGATGGTCTCCCTACTGTTAAGTTGTTGTTCAGTGCTGCAGGATATCAGTGCATGGTCAGATAAAGAGTTAATTTTCTTAGAAATGAGAAGCTGGAACATCCACCAGTTCAGTGATGTGGCAGGAGGGGAGGTAACCACTGACCCAGCAGCTGCCGAGATGGTTCTTCTGACTTTGCCTTTAATAGGAACTGGCTTGCACCTTCAGCTCCAGCAAACCAAGGCAGGTTCCCAAGTAACTGGATGCTAAAATATCCAGCTCGTTTCCCCACAGAAACACATGCCAGTCTGTAGCTAAAACCACTGATAGGGACGCAACACTGCACCATTGCAGAGTGGCCCATGGTGATTCAAATAAGAACCTCCCCAAGCCGGTGCACAGAGAGGTGCTCAGCTTTCACATGTATGAGCATTTCCTGTCCACCACTTGAATACTGTTAATGTGGTTGTCAGAATCGGTTTTCCATGTAACTTAACTTTTTTTGTCATTATAAGATGTTTTCACCAGATGAATAAAAGTGACCCCGTGGAAAACAAAAATGCTCCTCATATTTCCTGACAATTTCAGGACTTTTAATATATTCATGCCACAGATACTTCAAGCATTATGAAATGACCATTTGTTATATTAACTGGAACCTAGTATGCCTAGGAAGTTACCAGTTGCAAAGGGTATTTTGGCCTACACCCTGTAGTTCATGGGAAAAATGAGAGCGAGCGTGCAAGTGGCATGCTTTGAGAGAGGAACAGAGCCAGGAAAGGAGTAATGTAGCTTCAGATGTTTGGATTTATGGAGATTTAAGTGAGCATCATGCTTTTCTTATGCTTCTTCCAGTAAAAATAAACAAAGGTAGAGTGAGAAACTTAACATTGAGGTAATATGCAAATACTATTCTATCAAGGTTAGGGACTCGCCTTCTTTTGGTCACAATGCCATTAATCATCTTTTTGCTACAAACAGTTACTCCTGTGGTTAGCTGGAAATAAAATTCCTCCATTCAAGAGCTTCCAGAGCATTCTTCGCATTTACACATTAATCTTTTGGGCAAGCTTCAAGAGGGCCTTCTTAAAAAGCCAGCCCCTTAGTTTCATACTCAGATTAAGGACAGGGTTTTTGAAGACCATTTCTTCATAACTGTGGCTACTTTGGTTTACGAGTGTATTCAGTATAATGCAAGCAGAACGAGGTTCCTCTGCGGCAATAACAGCAGTAAGTCCTTCAGCTGATAGCGCAGTCATAAAAACTGAAAATTGAAGTGAACAAAATACTAGCTCTGACCTTTTCCCCCTCTTTCCCACGATACAGAGAAGAAGAGAAACAGTGGTCTGGGGTTTCTGTGGGGGATAGAGGGAGGAAGAAGGCTGCCACAGCCTCTCCAGGCAGGAGCCCAAGTGGAGGTATACAACTCAACCCCAATGAAAATGAGAATTTCATTGTTCAGTCCCCTCTGAGGGAGACCACTCATCTTTGCTTCCATCCTAATGCTGGTACATCTCCTGTTATCCTCCCTGCATCACAGAGATGTTTAATATTCCCTTTCTGTTTAAATGGGAAGAAAATAAGCCTTTTTGCCCCTCACTTTTGCTGGGAGGAGCTCCAGACAGTTTGGGTACTCTCCACCCTTAATTCAGAAACACTTCTTCCCTTACAGAGAATGAAGTTATATTTCAGTGGTAATTTTGACACAGAATCACAGAATCATAGAATGGTTTGGGTTGGAGGGGATCTTAAAAATCATCTAGTTCCAACCCCTTCCCCTAGACCAGGTTGCTCAAAGCCCCATCCAACCTGGCCTTGAACACTTCCAGGGATGGGGCATCCTTCTCTGGGCAACCTGTTACAGTGCTCCACCACCCTCTCAGTAAAGAATTCTTTCCCAATACCTAATTTAAATCTACCCTCTTACAGTTTAAAACTGTTACCCCACATCCTATCACTACACTCCCTGTTAAAAAGTCCCTCCCCATCTTTCCTGTAGGCCCCCTTTAGGTACTGGAAGGCTGCTATAAGGTCTCCCCAGAGCCTTCTCTTCTCCAGGCTGAACAATGCCAACTCCCTCAGCCTGTCTTCACAGGAGAGGTGCTCTAGCCCTCTGACTGTCTTCATGGCCCTCCTCTGGACTCACTCCAACAGGTCCATGTCTTTCTTATCTTGGGGGCCCCAGAAGTGACCACAGTACTACAGGTGGAGTCTCACAAGAGCAGAGTAGAGGGAGAGAATCACCTCCCTCAACCTGCTGGCCACGCTTCTTTACACGCAGCCCAGGATATGGTTGGCTTTCTGGGTGCAAACACACTTGCTGGGTCTCTTGAAAGGTCATTAAAAGTAATTTAATATTTTAGCAGTCCCATAAACAGCAAGGGGAGAGATAAGGAGCGTCGCTGCTGCCCAGATACTCACTTCCATGACAGTCTCTGGCTGTCAGGTTTTTGTGGAGTCACCAAAGCAGCAGTGTTGACTTTGTCTGTGTTTAACTACATCCCTCGGGAGATGTCACATCCCAGTCAGACATGCCTGAACTAGTCTT